TGTTGGGTGAGAAACCACTGTGTTTAGAGCACATGACACCTGAGAAGGAAAGGCAAAAGCCGGTTTTGGTTCCAGGTTCATATAATTAATTAGAAACAGATTTATTCACCTGAATGAATGTCCAGCGGCACACTTGAGCTTCATAGGAAGAATCTTTGCTGTGCCCTGGCTTCCCTGACTCCACCCACTAAATGACCATAGCCCAGCTCAATCCATGTGACCATCTACATCAAGGGTCCTCAAACTTTTTAAACAAGGGGCCAGTTCACTGTTCCTCAGACCATTGGAGGGCCAGTCAGCTGCTAAGCAGGACAAGCAGCGGTGGCCAAAACACCTGGCAGGCCGGATAAATGTCCTATGCAAGCTGCATGAGGCCCACGGGCCATAGTTTGAGGACACCTGATCTACATGTTCTCACTGTCTTTCCAAACCATTCCCACAAAAAGGTGATACTTTCATTTGAGACCCTCTAAGTTAGCTCCTTCAATTTCCATTAAGAAGACTTTATAAAGCAGATCCAGGATTTCACTTGGCTGTGAAGCTTACCCAGTGAGATGGCATGGCTGGTATTATTATCCTCATTTATCAACGTAGGAACTCAGGTTTTTCCTCTTGGCTCAACTAAACTCCATTTTCCAGCTTCCTTATAGTTTGGTTAAGTCCATGTGACTGAGTTCTGGCAAGAGGAAAAATACAGTGATGTTGATACTTGCAGGCCTGGTCCATGGTATCCCCCACACCGCCATCCCTGTAAAGTCACGCATTCTCTCTTCTCTTTGTACAGTGGTCCCCAAGTCATAAAGTGAAGATGGGAGAATCACAAAACAGAAAGAGTTTGGGCCACTGTAGAACTGAGTGGAGCAACTACTCCCTACCCTCTTGGACAGCTGCATTTGAACGTGATGGAACAATGCAGTAGATTTACATTGAGTTAAATCACTAATAGTTATTTATTTATTTTTAGACACAGCCTCAAGCTGTCGCCCTGGGTAGAGTGCCATGGCATCACAGCTCACAGCAAACTCCAACTCCTGGGCTTAGGCGATTCTCTTGCCTCAGCCTCCTAAATAGCTGGAACTACAGGCACCCACCACAACACCTGGCTATTTTTTTGTTGCAGCTTGGCTGGGGCTGGGGCCCTATCCATTGAGCCATAGGGGCCGCCCTATCATTATTATTATTTTTTTGTGTGAGTCTCAAGCTGTCGCCCTGGGTAGAGTGCCATGGCATCACAGCTCACAGCAAACTCCAACTCCTGGGCTTAGGCGATTCTCTTGCCTCAGCCTCCTAAATAGCTGGAACTACAGGCACCCACCACAACACCCGGCTATTTTTTTGTTGAATTGTTACAGTTTGGCCGGGGCTGGGTTCGAACCCACCACCCTCAGTATATGGGGCTAGCACCCTACCCAGTGAGCTACAGGTGCCACCCCCAACTTTTTTTTTCAGTTTTTGGCTGGGGCTGGGTTTGAACCCATTACCTCCTGCATATGGGGCCAACACCCTACTCCTTTGAGCCACAGGCACCACCCTTTTTTTTTTTTTTTTGGACAAGTGGCTCACTTTGTTGCCCTTGGTGGAATGCTGTGATGTCATAGCTCACAGCAACCTTAAACTCTTGGGCCCAAGAGATCCTCTTGCTTCAGCCTCCCACGTAGCTGGGACTAAAGGCACCTACCAAAACACCCAGCTATTTTTTTTTCTTAGTAGAGATGGGGGTCTCATTCTTGCTTAGGCTAGTCTTGAACTCCTGAGCTCAAGCAATCCATCTACCTCGGCCTCCCAGAGTGCTAGGATTATAGGCATGAGCCACCGTGCCTGGCCTTACTTTTTTTTCTTTTCTTTTTTCTTTGAGACAGTCTTATTCTGTAGCTCAGGCTAGAGTTCTGGGATGTCAGCCTACCTCACAGCAACCTCAAATTCCTAGGTTCAAGCAATCTTTTTGCCTCATCCTCCCAAGTAGCTGGGACTATAGGCATACACCACCATGCCCAGCTAATTTTTCTTGTTTTAGTAGAGACAGGCTCTCACTCTTGCTCAGGCTGGTTGGTTAAGGGATTCTCCTGCCTTGGCCTCCCAGAGTGCTCAGATTATAAACCTAAGCCAAAACCTCCAGCCAACACTTTTTTTTTTTTTCCTGAGACAGAGTCTCACTTTGTCGCCCCTGGTAGAGTACCATAGCTTTATAGCTCACAGCAACCTCAGATTCTTGGGTTCAAGCGATTCTCATGCCTCAGCCTCCTAAGTCGCTGAGACTACAGGTGTACATCACAACATCCAGCTATTTTTAGAGACGGGGTCTCACTCTTGCTCAGACTGGTCTTGAACTCATGAGTTCAGGCAATCCACCTGCCTTGGCCTCCCAGAGTGCTGGGATTACAGTGTGAGCCACCACACCTGGCCCATACCAGCCAACATTCTTTAAGTATATGAAAACAGGTACCCAAACACAAACTCACATAGAATGTTTATAGCAGCAGTATTCACAAAAGCGAAAAGGCAGTTATAATAGCCAACCCAAATGTTTATCACTAGATGAATGAATAAACAAAATGTGGTGTATACAGGTACATACAACCAAACATTACCCAATAATAAAAAGGAATAAGGCTCAGCGCCTGTAGCACAGTGGTTACTGCGCCAGCCACATGCACCAAGGCTGGCAGATTCAAACCCGGCCCCAGCCAGCTAAAAAACAATGACAACTGCAACAAAAAAATAGCCAGGTGTTGCGGCTGGTGCCTGTAGCTCCAGCTACTTGGGAGGCTGAGGCAAGAGAATCCCTTAAGCTCAAGAGTTTGAGGTTGATGTGAGCTGTGATGCCAGGTCACTTTACCGAGGGCAACATAGTAGACTCTGACTAAAAAAAAAAAGGAATGAAAGTTTGGTACATGCTGCTACATGGATGAGACATTATGGTAAGGGAAAAAAGCCCTTCGCTAAAGGCCACGTACTGTATTGAAATAGCTACATCAGGCAAATCTATAGAGACAAAATGACAATTAGTAGTCAACAGGATCAGGGGAGAGTGGGCATGAAGCAGTGACTGCTTGACATGATTCTTTTGCGGAGATGAAAATGTTTTAGAGCTAGATAGACGTGGTGGTTGCACAACATTGTGAATGTACTAAATACCGCTGGATTGTACACTTTTAAATGGTTAATTTTGTGTTATATGAATTTCTCCTCCATTTTTAAATAAAGCTTACACTAGCATGGGGTCTCCCCAGACCCATGTTCGTCCAGGCCTCAGCAATTGCTTCTGTGAACAAGGACAATATGAAGGGGGCACTCTGGCCACCAAGATAGGCACCCACCTCCTTCTCCCCCTCCAGTGCCCTAGAGCTCTCTGTGCCCAGCTCAGTGATGCCGGTCAGCAGCAGTTGGGCAGAGGAGTGAGACGAGTGTGGGATGGAAACAGTGCTGGGTGTGCACACCGTCAGTGTCCCTGCCTCACTGCTGCTCTAAAGCTCCAGGGACACACCACCCCTCTTCAATAAACTCCAAGCTCTTAGGGTGGCCCATGGCCTGTCTGACCGTGGCCTTGTTGACATTTAAGAACTTCTCTGGGGTCTCTCCCCATAGTTCTCCAGACCAGCTCCTTTGCCCCTGCAGGCTTTCCCATACCCAGTTCTCTCTGGTCCCCTTCCAATTCCACCCTCCAACCCCCTCCTTTGCCAATCCCCATTTAAACAGGAAGACACAGCCCAAACCAGGTCTCACTATGAGTCTCCCGGGCAGGAGCTGAATCACACAATAGGCAGAGCACAGGTGATCTCAGTCCTTAAGGACTCTGAAGGTCTAGGGTCAGGCTTTATATTTTCCCCCACCCTCAGGCAGGAACAGGGCCCCTCTGGGCTCTCCCTGGCCCCTGCCTCATCCTCCTTCCTCATCGGGTTGTGTGTCATAGTCAAGTTAATCTTTCCGTTCTCACATGGAACCCAGGCCCTGCGGAGCTCTGGGCAGTAGGGAGGCCTTCTGTAACTATTTAAAAAGACAAGAAGTAGGACTGGGTGTGGTGGATCATGCCTGCAATCCCAGCACTCTGGGGGGCCTAGGCGTACAGATTGCCTGAGCTCACAGGTTGGAGATCAGCCTGAGCCAGAGGGAGATCCCCGTCTCTGAAAACAGCTGGGCGGCTGAACGCCTGTAGTCCCAGCTACTTGGGAGATTGAGGGAAGAGAATCGCTTGAGCCCAAAAGTCTTAGGTTGCTGTGAGCTGTGATGCCACCATACTCTACTGAGGG